TTGATGTTTCTCCTTAAAGTGCATTATTTCATACTTGCTTGTATTAAATTGCAACACCATATGCCTGCCTGTTTGCACGGGCAGTCTACATCGTCCTGGTTTCTGCAATCCTGATCACCATTTGCCATGTTGTTGAGACTCGTGTCAGTTGCAATCATCAAAATTGTACTCCCTGCACTGAAATCCAGTTCACATAAAGGAAAAGCAGTGGATATTTAACCTAAACTGGATGGGCACTGATATCCTCGCAGGTAGGTTTGTTGGTGCCACTTGTGTGGGTTTAAAATAGAGTTGGGGATGGGTGGGTGGTGGGAACTAGAGTTGTAAGTCAGCACATAGAAGGATTGAAGAGATGGTAGATGTTAAGTTATGTAAGTCTAGTCGGAAGAACAGGCAGGGCTAGGTTAATGAACACAGCGAGGCTGATGGTTTGAAGTGCATTAATTTTAAAACAAGGAATATTACAGGGAAGGCAAATGATCTTAGAGCCTGGATTAGTATGTAGAATTATGCTGTTGTAGCTATTTCAGAAACTTGGTTGAGAGGAGGACTGCTCAATGTTCCAAGATTTAAATGTTTCAGGTGCGATACAGACGGATGTAAAAGGAGTGGGGAAGTTGCATTACAGATTAAGGAGACGTCGCAGCTGCAGTAAGAGAAGACATCTTGGAGGGCTCATCCATTGAGGCCGCTTGGGTAGAACTCAGGAATAAGAAAGGTGCAGTTGCTATGACAGGGTTACACTGCAGATTAAATTAAAACCAAAAGAACAGTGGATGCTGTAAATCAGGAACAAAAACAGAAATTGCTGGAAAAGCTCGGCAGGTCTGGCAGCGTCTGTGAAGAAAAAATAAAAGATAACGTTTCAGGTCCGGTGACCCTTCCTCAGAACCTGGACCCGAAACATTATCTCTATTTTTTCCTTCACAGATGCTACCAGACCTGCTGAGCTTTTCCAGCAACTTCTGTTTTTGTTATACTCTAGGCTTCCCAACAGCCAGCCAGAGATTGAGGAACAGATATATAAGCAGATCATGGAAAGATGTAAAACCAACAGGGGTTGTTGCAGTGGGTAATTTTAACTTACCCCATTTTGACTGGGACTCCCTCAGTCCTGGGGTCTGAGATGGGGCAGATTTTGTTTGGTGCATCCAGGAGGGATTCTTGAAACAATATGTAGACAATCCATCTGGGAAAGGGGCCATACTAGAACTTGTATTGGTTATTGAGCCAAGATTTGGGAACCTTGGATGACAAGAGATATTGGATGTTTAGTGAAAAAGAAAAAGGAAGCACATGTAAGGTTCAGGAAACTGAAATCAGACAAGGTCCTTGAGGAATATAAAGGAAGCAGAAATGAGCTTAAACAAGGAATTAGGAAGGCTAGAAAGGGCCATGAAATGTTCTTAACAAGTAGGTTTAAGGAGAAACATAAGGTATTTTATATGTAAATTAGGAGCAAGCGTGTCGCTAGGGAAAGGGTAGGTCCACTCAAGGACAAAGGAGGGAATTTATGCATGGAGCCAGAGGAAGTGGGTGAGGTCCTTAATGAAGACTTTGCGTCAGTATTCACAAAGGAGAAAGACCTAGATGTTGGTAAGATTAGGGAGGGGTATGTTGATATCCTAGGGCATGTTGATGTTGAGAAGGAAGAGGTTTTAGATATCTTGAAAAATGTTGTTAGATAAATCTCCAGGGCTTGAAGGGATCTATCCCAGGATACTAAAGAAGGTAAGGGAGGAGATTGCTAGGTCCTTGTCAGATATATTTGTATCCTCTTTAGCCACGGGCAAGGTCCCAGAAGACTGGAGAATAGCCAGTGTTGTTCCTTTGCTCAAGGAGGTCATAGAGATAATCCAGGAAACTTCAGGTCAGTGACCCTTACATTAGTGATAGGAAAATCATTGGAGAAGATTCCTAGGGACAGGATTTACTTGCATTTGGAAAAGAATGAACTTATTATGGATTGTAATCATGACTTTGTGCAGGGGAGGGCTTGGCTCACAAATTTGGTTAAGTTTTTTGAGGGAGTGATGAAGATGATTGATAAGGATAGGTTGATGTTGTCTACATGGACTTTACTAAAGCATTTGACAAGATCCCTTATGGTAGGCACATCCAGAAGATTATGTCACATGGGATCCATGGTGAGTTGGTAAGTTGGATACAAAACAAGCTAGGTCATAGAAGACAGAGGGTGGTTGTGGAGGGATGTTTTTCTGACTGGAGATCTCTGACCTATGGTTAGTGCCAAGACCGCTTTTGTTTGTAATATATACAAATGATTTGAATGTAAATATATGTGGTCTGATTAGTAAGTTTGCAGACAACATGGCAATTAATAGAGTTTTGTATAGTGAGGAAGGTTGTCAAATGCTCCAACAGGATATAGATCAGTTGGAAGGTTGGACGGAGAAACGGCAGATAGAGCTTAATCCAGACAAGTGTGAGGTGATGCATTTTGGAGGTCAACATCATAGTTTACTATATAACAGAGGCAACAAGAAGTCATGGTTATTTTACTTACTTGGCCTCAACTGATTGTTTCGTGTCTACTTCTTTGTGCAATGGATGGAAATCTGGTATAGAACAGTTGTTGTTGAGGAAAGACACCCGTCAGTTTGTTCTTGTATAAGTAGCAGAGAGAGCGTCCCAGAGGGATCTTGCATGAGGAAAATGACAGAGGATGGGAATGGAGTCTCAGAGAAGCCGACATCTTTGCTTGTGAAACCAAATGACATTTGTTATCTTTCTGTGCTTGTGAAACCAAATGACATTTGTTATCCTTCTGAGAGTGAGTTTGTTGTATGGTCAGTTATGAAGTGTCAATATCTTTCTAAAAATGTGGTCTGTACTGTTTAGTTAGTTCTTACTGGGCTAAGAAGTAAGAAAGTAGGGGTGTGTAGGTTAGGTGGGTTATAAGGGGATGGGTCTGGGTGGGATGCTCTGAGGGCCGGTGTGGACTTGTTAGGCCAAAGGGCCTGTTTCCACACTGTAGGGATTCTATGATTCTAAATGCAAGAGGAGAGTATACAATAAATGGCAGGACCCTGAGAAGAATTGATATAGAAAGAAACCTTTGGGGCACAAGTCCATAGCTCCCTGAAAGTGGTAACACAGGTGGATAAGGTGGTAAAGAAAGCGTATGGCATGCTTGCCTTTATCAGTTGAGGCACTGAGGATCAAAGTTGGCAAGTCATGTTGCAGCTGTGTAAGACTTCACTTTGTCCACGTTTGGAGTACTGTGTGCAGTTCTGGTTGCCACACTATAGGAAGAACGTAGAGGCTTTGGAGAGGATGCAGAAGATGTTTGCCTGAATTGGAGTGTATTATCTACAAGGAGAGGTTTGACAAACTTGGATTGTTTTCACTTGAGCATTGGAGGCTGAAGAGCGACCTGATAGAAGGGTATAAAATTATGAGATGAATGGATAGAGTGGATAGTTGGAGTTTCTTTTTTCCCAGGGAGGTTACGTCAAATATTAAGGGGCATAGGTTTAAGGTGTGTGGGTGGGGGGATGGATTTTAAAGGAGATGTGCAAGTCAAGTTTCTTTAAACAGAGGATGGCAAATGCCTGAAACGTGCTGCTGGGGAGATGGTAGAAACAGATACAACAGCAACATTTAGGAGGAATTAAGACAGATACATGAAACCAGCAGGGAATAGAGGGATGCGAGACCATGTGTAGGCAGATGGGATTAGCTTAGAAAGGCATCATGGTCGGTGCAGATGTGGTGGGCCGAAGGGCCTGTTCCTGTGCTGCACTGTTCTATGTTCTATGATTCTAATTTTGATCCCTTGGGATCTCATTCCATACACCTCTGCTCACCATGATTCCTATTACCTATAGTTCACCCATTACATCCACAGATTAGCAACACCTCTTTAATCCCATGTGTTTCTATTTTGAGAGGAACTTTGTGTGCAGTGTTTTATCAGATACTTTTTGAAAATCCATGTACACAATTCTTGTAAACCATTTACAGAGAATCAGCTCTTTGAGGGTGATTTTAAAGGAGGATGTGCAAAAGCCACATTGAAACATGTCATAGAGTCATGGAGCCTAGAAACAGGCCCTTCAGCCTACTCCATCTATGCTGACCAACAAACGTCAAACTGCACAAACAAAAACAGAAATTGTTGGCAAAACTCAGCAGTTCTGGATTCAGCAATTCCAACGAAGAGTCACTGGATTCGAAACATTAACTCTGCTTTCTTCCCACAGATGTTGCTGGACTGACTGAGTTTCACCAACAATTTCTGTTTTTGTTTCAGATTTCCAGTATCTGCAGTTCTTAGTTTTCTTTCCAAACTACCCTAACCCAAACTGCCCGCACTCGGGCGACATGCCAACTATGCCCTGGTATTTTAAGTGCTTGTCGAGATACTTCTTAAATGTTGTGAGAACACCTGCCTCTACTACCCTCTCAGGCTGCATGCTCCAAATAACAACCATCTTCTAGGTGCTGCAACATCCTTCTGGAATATAATGCTGTCTCGGCAAAGGTAGGTCAATTTTTGTTAAAATGTATTTGGTTCCTTTCAGAGAAGGAAATCTGCCATACTTTCTCAGCCTGGCCTACACGTGACTCCAGACCCACAGCCAATGTGGTGAATCTTAACTACCTTCTGCAAAGACCGAGGAATCCATTCAGAGGTAACCGCTGGATATGTCAGTGCCACTCACATCCCCTTGGGAAATAATGGAGGAAAACAGTTAATCCCTCAAAATTTCTGAGGCAATACAGCAAGATTTTTTTTTAATTCTCAAGATCCCAACAAGCATAATAGCGTCAACGGTTCGTTTTAGGAGGTAAATAGAAATAACATGAGGGCACCTTTTCACAACTTCTGAATGCCCAAGCACAGCCACAGGAGTATTTCTGAAATGGAGTGCCTACTGTAATATTGAGAAATTGCTGAGAGCAGGGCCATGTTAAAAGCAGTGGCCAAGTAATCTGTTGAAACCCTGTTGAGTAAGGGATAAGCATTGGCCAAGATACCAGGAGGGATCCTTTGCTCTTTGATATACAGGGTGGCCAGAGCTAACGGGTACGCACCTTGCTCCAAAAGACAAAAGTCAGGTGTCAGACCTTGGGCTAGACATTCACAGAGCAGCTGATTGGTGTCCAATTAGCTGTCCTCAGCAAGACCAACATTCAGAACATTTCAATGGAGCATGGGAAGGATTCAGAGAGCAGCAGAACACATCTCCCACCTCTGATTTGTCTTTAGTGTCTTCTGCTCGAATCCAAAGGCTCGAGTGTTGCTGTCAAGTAGTTAATGGCACAGATAGAGCCATTTCTTCATGGTTTAACGAAGACTCTTGTGAAATGACTGCACGGCTTTGTGTTAATCTTTAGCAAGCTCCAGATCAGCCACAATTCATTGGGCATCACTCGGTGAACGACCATTAATCCTTGGTAAATGCATGGGTCGTACGGAATATTCCCATAGGTACGGAAGCCTCTGTGCATGATCACTTCAATGTTGGCCTTCTGGGCACAGATTCCCACAAAAGCATCATCGATGGGAAAGAGCTCCTCAAATTCGGCGGCCTTGTGTAGCTTGAGGATTGACATTCCAGACAACAGGTAACCACCCCCGCCAGCATAGGGAGGGTAAGGTTTGTTGCCGTACAGAAAGAGTGGGATGTAGTACTTGCTGTTCTCGGCCCTGGACGGGTACCAGTTTCTGAAGACATCCCCGACATAAAGGTCACGGGAAGGATTGTGTTCCTTTAAAAAATCCACGACATTCTCCACGTTAACAAACACATCATCGTCACCCTTGAAGACAAACTTCACAGCCCGGCAGTCCTGGGAGAACCATTGCCAGAAGAGGGTCTCTTTTAGCGTGACGTTGAAGAAGGACTCGCGAAAGCCCCATTGGATGATGTCGTTGTATTGCTTGCTCTCATGGTCCACCAGGGCCTGCACAGCTTGCGAACGGATCTGGCGCTCCGTGAGGCCCAGGAGGAAGACGCGGCGCACTAATGCCCCTTCAACCACTCGCTCCTGCCCCCAGGTGCTGCGGATGGATGCCCGGCGGTCCGCGTGCTCCGCCAGCGACTTAATTGCCAACAGCAGGAAGGTGCCTTCCCTGTCGCAGCTGCTAGCCTTGCGCAGGAGAGGGAAGTTCCTGCAATGTCGGTACATCATGAAGTCCTTGTAGATTGGCTTGAGCTTGGAGGTCAGGCTGTTGAAAGCAGGGTTCGGATGGCAGGGCTGCGGAGTTGGCTCTGCTCTGGGCTGACCACTGAGCACCTCAGCCGTAGTCAAGTTCCTGGAATTTATTGCGGCTGGTGGAACCTTGGAACGCCACACAAACTCATCGAAGTATGACAAGAATGTCAATTTCTTCTTCATGACGATCACAGGGTTGTATAAACTGAAACCAACCATGAGCACAACGGAAAATATCAGGACGCCTTTCATTCCACGGATCAACACAGCGGTGTTCATGACTGCGAACTGAGAGGGAGAAAAGATACATCTTGAAAAATTTATTCATGCAAAGACATTATGTTTAAATGTTGGAAAATATGAAAAGCAATAGGTATTCATTTCTGAGTTAGGGATCTTCCAAACTGAAGAAATCATATTGGACTCAAAATGCTTAGTGGAGGCAAATGCCTGGTGCTGTTATTCATTAGACTGTTAATCCAGAGACTCAGATAAACTACTGGGGACTTGAGTTCAAATCCCGCCATGACAGAAGGTGGAGATTGAATTCAATAATTTAAAATAAAGATTAAGAGTCTAATGATGACCACAACAATCGCTGATTGTTGGAAACCCTTTTTTTTTATTCATTAACGGGATGAGGGCGTTGTTGGCTAGGCAGCATTTATTGCCCATCCCTAATTACTCAAAGGGTAGTTAACAGTCAACCACATTGCTGTGGGTCTGGAGTCACATGTAGGTCAGACCAGGTATGGATGGCAGCTTCCTTCCCTAAAGGACATTAGCGAACCAGATGGGTTTTTCCAACAATCAACAATGGATTCATGGTCATCTTTAGATTCTTAATTCCAGATATTTTTATTGAATTCAAATTCCACCATCTGCCGTGGCGGGATTCAAACCCAGATCTGCAGAATGTTATCCAGGTCTCTGGATTAACAGTCCAGCGATAATACCACTAAGCTATTGCTTCGCCAATTGGTTTGCTAATGTCCTTCAGGGAAGGAAACTGTCGTCCTTGTCTGGTCTGGCCTGCTTGTGACTCCAGACCCATAGCAGCGTGGTTGACTCTCAACTGCTCTCTGGGCAATTAGGGATGGGCATTAGATACTGGCCTGGCCAATGACGCCCTCATCCTGTGAATGAAGAAAAAACTTTTCTCTCCACAGCTTGTCAAGCCTGCTGAGTTTTTCCAGCAATTTCTATCTTATTTCAATTGAAACTTCAATACTAAAAGGTTACTCAGGCCATCAAAGATACCTGTGTGCAGAATCAAATGCAAAAAGTTATGTATGAAAGTAACCTAACTCAAAACAAATGCAATTAATTCACTATTCTGATCTCTAATGTGTGGAACATCAGGACAAGGGAAGTCACTTCATAACCTTCAATTCTACTTTGTAGTTAACTTATTTCTATAATCTATTTCTCTTCAATTCTTTAATTCATTCAAATGTCACGACTCATTATGTTCCAGAGTCTGAATGGAATAGATACTCCTCTTTCTGCTTCAAACAGGAATCTCAGGTTTAGTCTCATTACTAGTTCACCACTAGATGCTGGAAGCTTTCACTTTTTTTATTCATTTGTGGGATGTGGATGTCACTGGCTGGCCAGCATTTCTTGCCCATCCCGAGTTGCCCTTGAGAAGGTGGTGCTGAGCTGCTTTCTTAAACCACTGCATTCCTCCTGCTGTGGGTTGACTCACAATTAGGGAGGTGATGCCTAGTGGTACTATTGCTGGACTGTTAATCCAGAGAGCCAGATAATGTTCTGGGGACCTGGGTTCAAATCCCACCATGGCAGATGGTGGAATTTGAATTCAATAAAATATCTGGAATTAGGATTCTAACGATGACTGTGAACCCATTGTCGATTGTCGGAAAAACCCATCTGGTTCACTCATGTCCTTTAGGGAAGGAAACTGCCATCCTTACCTGGTCTGGCCTCCATGTGACTCTTAACTGCCCTCTGGGCAATTAGGGATGGGCAATAAATGTTGCCTAGCCAGTGATGCCCTCATCCTGTGAATGAATAAAGAAAGAATTCCAGGATTTTGACCCAGTGACATAAAGGAATGTCAACGTAACTCCATGTCAGGATGGCAAGTGGCATGGAGAGGAACTTGGAGGTGGTGGTGTTCCCATATGGCTGCTACCCTTCTCCTTCTAGATGGAAGAGGTCGTGGGTTTGGAAGGTGCTGTCTGAGGGTCTTTGGTGAATTTCTGCAGTGCATCTTATGGATAGCACATACTGCTGCTACTGAGCGTCGGTGACGGAGGGAGTGGATGCCTGTCGATGTAGTACCAGTCAAGTGGACTGCCTTATCCTGGATGGTGTCAAGCTTCTTGAGTGTTGTTGGGGCTACACTCATCCAGGCAGGTGGGGAGTATTCCATCACACTCCTAACTTGTGCCTTGTCGATGGTGGACAGGCTTTGAGGAGTCAGGAGGTGAGTTACTTGCCGCAGTATTCCTAGCTTCTGACCTGCTCTTGTAGCCACTGTTTTTATGTGCATATTCCATGTTTAAATCTCGTTAGATTTCTCTGCTAGTAGTTGTAACAAAAACCCTAGAATGTTTAACGAACAGGTAGTTGGTGAAGAAGACAGACTTTGCATTCATAAAGAAAATGGGCTGAATGGTTTAATTCATCTGTAATAATCTTCTAAAACACATAAACACTTTTTCCTTAATCTCATATTTTTAAGATTGATTCACTGATGATGTGCTGGCAAGAACAGTATTAATTGACCATCACAAAATTTTTCTTTAATTCATTCATGGGGTGTGGGTATCACTGCCACATCCACTGGTCATTTATTGCGTATTCCTAATTGCCATGGAGCAGGTGGTGGTAAAACATTGTAGTCCATACAGTATAGGTGCACCTTCTTTGGAACTGATGGTAGCTAGGAAAAGATTGGTGCATAAGCTGGAGATAGGGTGAGAGGGGAGAGGGGTAAACAATAGATGGAGATCGAGCCCAGAAAGAGAGAGCAAAAGAGTTGGGCAAACAAAGGAACAGGTAAAGGTCAGCCTGGGTGAATCAATAGCTGCTAGTGAGGACCATTCTGAGGAAGAGTTACTGGACCTGAAACGTTAACTCTGCTTTCTCTCTACAGATGCTGCCTGACCTGCTGAGTTTTTCCAGCAATTTCTGATTTTGTTTCTGATTTCCAGCTTCTGTGCTACTTTAGTTTTTGACTGTGGAGGGAGTGAATGTTGGAGATAGGAGGAGTGCTAATCAAGTGGGTTGCTCTGCCTGAGATGGTGTATTTCCTGAGTGTTGTTGGAACAGCACTCATTCAGACAAATGGGGAGTACTTCATTATGCTCCTGACTTGTGTTGTGGATAGGCTTTAGGGTGTCTACAGTTGACTTACTGTAGGAGCTGACCCACTCTTGTAGCCATTACATTTATATGGCATAAAAAAATAGAAATTGCTGGAAAAGCTCTGCAAGTCTGGTATCATCTGTGGAGAGAAATCAGAGTTAACATTTTGGGTCAATTAGCTGTTCCTCAGCACTGTGTATGGGCTAGTCCAGTTCAGTTTCTGGTCAATGATAACCTCCCAGGATATTGATAGTCAGGGTTCAGTGATGGTATTGCCATTAAATGTCAAGTGACACAGAGATGATGCAGAGAAACATCAACTCTAATATATGAGAGGTTTATTCTTAAGTGGTAGGACTTATACAATTAATGGTAGGGCCTTGGGTAGTGTTGTAGAGCAGAGGGACCCAGGGCTTCAAGTACATAATTCATTGAAGTTTGCGTTACATATGAACAGCGTGGTTAAAAAGGAGACAACAAGGTGCAGAGCTGGATGAACACAGCAGGCCAAGCAGCATCATAGAAGCAGGAAGGCTGACATTTCGGGCCTAGACCCTTCATCAGAAAAAGGGT